AGGATGATGATAACAGTATAAACAGCCTTAAAAAAATCCTCTACAGTTTGAAAATATACAGTATTACAGTATCCCTGCAGAATGCTGTGTTAGTCAATTCATATAATAAAATACCTGCTATAGTTAACTTATTGAGAGGAGGAACGTAGTTTGTTCACAGTTTCGGAGCCTCTAGTCCAAGGCTGAGTGGACTCGTTGCTGTGGTTTTTTTTTTTGTTTGTTTGTTTGTTTTTTGTTAGTGTTCTAGATATCAGTACTACAGAGTACTCATCTCATCAGCCAGGACAGAAAGAATAAGAGAAAGGCATAGAAATTCTCTCCAAGAGTATGTCTCCAGTGGCCTAAGGATCTCTAGCCTGTCTGTTCAGGATCTACCATATCTCACTAGTGGCATTCTTAAAGCACTTAAACCCATATATATGCAAGGCAGTTTGTGCATTAAAAAAAAAAAAAAACAGAATAGGAGGGGGCCTAGGAGAGATTCAAATAATGGAATTATCAGGAGTAGTCTTTAAACGGCCCATGCACAGTTCATAAAATGCTTGTGGCATGAGGAATTAAGTGTAGGGCCCCTTTATTCATGTTAAAACTGGGTATCGCCTTGTGAGCTTGTAATAGTAGCACTGGGTAGGTGGAGCAGGAGGATCTCTGTATAGATGAATCCGTTCAGTGAGAGTTCATGCCTCTAAAAAACTAAAGCACAGAGTAACAGAGGAAGACATAGCATCAACCTCCTCTCTCTCCCTCTCTCTCTCTCTCTCTCCCCCTCTCTCTCTCTCTTACACACACATATCACACACACACACACACACACACACACACAAATACATAGGCCCAGGTATAATTTTTCCAAAAGTTTAGAAAACAAGATAAAATTTTTGATAGAGAGAGCTAAAAACTACAAAGAAAAGGGAATCAAGTGGTGGTTCTAGAACTGTGAGATACCAAATTAACTGATATTGAGAAACAGCAAAGAGTTATCAGACTTCCCATGTGACCATGGATGTGATTAATACATTAACGGGTTCAATGTAAGACATTTGTGAAGATGGTCCCTCCTTACAACCTGATGCAAAGGATTCCTAAGACCCTGGTCCATGTGGGGGAACACTTTCATTTATACCCTATTGAGTCCTTAAAGCTGCCTGTCACTGCCAATTGTCATTCCCAGCATGTGGATAGCTTGGGTTTTCTATCTCCCTGCCACAATAAAGCCCTTTGAAGCTGATGTCACCAGTGTCTAGTAGTACAAGGCTTAGCCAGAGCTAGACCTCAGAGGAAAATCACTAGGTTCTGTTTGTGTTGACATCCTTAAGCTTTGCTCAAAAAGCAGAGCTTGGGCTGAGCCCCTGGAACAGAGAACAAGGCTAGACAGACATAGATGGTGAGCAGAACTGCCAAGAACACCAACAATAACACCATAATAAAACAATTGAGGGGAACTGAGGCTAGGAGGTGAGGAAAGAAAAAGAACTGTTTCCTCCTCTTCTTCCCCCTCTAGTGGGGAGATGTGCTTAGGATCACCACAGGAAATCCAGGCACTTCAGTACAAAAGGAAAGGTGCCTGGATGAGTAACAGGGAGAGAAGGGCTTGTACATGTTTGCACATGTGGGACAGGGCTGTAGGGGTGGTAGGCACTGTGACTCATCTCTCCCATTTTACCTGAGGTAGAGAAATGTGTGCAATCACTACTGTTTGAGTAGTCCCCATGCACCAGAGTCAAGGTAAAGTACATCACATGAGTCTTTATTTAATTCCCATAGCGATCCATGATGTGGCTTCCGTTATTTAAACTGGTTAATGGGTAATGAAACTGAGATCTAGAGTGTCTACACAACTTGTCTGGGATAGCACAGCTCAAATGCGTGAAAGGATTGAGTCTCGGGGTCTGCCCAGGGTCTCCTTCCCTACACACTCGAAAAGGATGTACTGCAAGCCTTTGGTGGAGGTGGGTGTGGTCCAGAGAAGAAGGCACAGACCGGGAAATCTGGTAGCCTAATGTTTCAGACCTCTAGAACTAATCTCTTTCTGTTTGAATTTGGGCCAAGGTCAGAGAAACATTTACCTAGCAGCCGTGATATGGGTGAGATTTTGCTTGGACCACTGTCTGAGGGCAGAGGCTAGCACAAAGCGCCTCCATTCACCTTGCAAATCAATTACTTTTCTCCCTCGATCTTCAAGGATGTTTGAGAGAACACTGATTTGTTGTTGTTTTAACAAAGTTTCACCAGTTTGCTGAAAGTTGGCTATTCTGGACACTTATTTTCGTTAAGGAGTCCCCAGCTTTTCATTGGTTGCTATATTAATAGCTGCCAAAAGCTTGGATTTAAAAAAAAAAATCTGTAAAAGCCTGAAAATGGAAAATGGAAAAAAAAAGATAGTCTAAAAAATTACATAGTAAGAAACAGACAGAGCATTCTTTACAGATAATAACATTCTTGAGTACTATTTGAGTACTATATGAAGAAATCACATCATTTGTAAATATAATCATATTTACAGAACAATGGTGTTCAAGTATTTGTGTGTCAGCTCAACTACATAACATTTTGGGAATTTATTTTTTTGTTAAATTGTCTTATATTTCTTGTGTTATTTTTATTTTCCCATGAATGCATAGTTTAAAAAAAAAAAAAAGCTGAATGCTTTTAAGGCATAAGCTTGTTATCTTGACTTATATTAAAGCTGTCACCACAGTCAGGCTAATTAACATATCTACCTCCTCATCTAGTTACCATTTTCTTTCCCCTTCCTTCTTCTTCCCTCATTTCTCCTTCTGTCTCTCTTAATTTCCTTCTCCTTTCCTTTCCTTTGAAAGGGAAGAAAAGTGAGTCTACTTAGCAGCCACTCTCAGCACATTCCATGTGTAGTAAGTACCACTGTTATTACCATATGACCCACCCAAGTTCACTCCTCTGATCAGCTTGGCCTATGTTAGTTTTCTGGGACAGTGTAGAGACAGAAGGGAAAGAGGCATGTGACCTTCAACTGATGCCCCTGTGTTTGTGAGCACAGGGGGGCAGCCTCTCTCCCTCAGGAAATTTAGGGATCTATCAGAAGGGAAAGGTGCTGTACACTTTATGAGGGTGGAGTGAGGAGCTTGGGAATGAGGAAATTGTTCCAGCTGTAGTAGTCTACGTGTTGCTCCTGCAGTCTCTCCTTCCTGAAATTGTTTGCCCAAGGCCAGACAAAATCCTTTCTGGAGTGACTGATGATGGTTGAACAAAGCCATCTCTGCTCTCTTAGGAATCCTGCTTTACAACCGAGGCATTCCATGAGCATATTCCACTCCTTATCCATTCCCTGCTATCCATCTACTGCCTCTGGTATCCAACAACCTATTGCCTGCTTCTGAATTTTAATGTGAATTTTATTAATATGTAAGATGTAGCATTTGTACAAATAAATAATAAGAGAGTCCCAGGCAGCTTCAGAAGTACTGTAAGACAAACATGAGAGAGCTTATGATAGTTGGGTACCAGATATTTCCCTCTTTCATTGGGTATGATGACAGCATTATGTACCTGGTGACTAATAAACCTTCCAGAAACTTCAAAGCTTAATTAATTCAGTTTCTGGAAGTTGTAAATAACTAGGCAAGTTCATACCCATCCCCTTCCTTCAGACATCTTCATGAAAAATTTTTCAAAATGAACAAAGAAATGAGCAAACAGAACATTCCCTTGGCCCGCACAGTTAGATAGCATCTTTCTCCAAGAACTCAAGAAGGATATGTACTTGACATTTTCACTTTCAAAACTATCATCCAGGGTTATAGCAGCAGAAATATTCCATTTGTTGGAAAAGAAGAGCTTGTTAAAGACTTGACATTTGTTCTGTAGCTTCTCCGTAAAAGGTTCGATCTCCCCTTTGGACACATCCTGGTTTCCTAAGTTGAAAATAAGGTCAAATGCTGCCAGGCAGTGATGGTGCATACCTTGAATCCCAGCACTCGGGAGGCAGAGCCAGGCAGATCTCTGTGATTTCAAGGTCAGCCTGGTCTACAGGTTGAGTTCCAGTACAGCCAGGGCTAAGCTGAGAAACCCTGTCTTGAAAAACCAAAAAAAAGAAAATAAGGTCAAATGCATCAAGATCAATGGGTGAAGTAGGATGACCTGATCAAAAGAACTGGATTTTTGGTCCCTTACCATTAACAAGCACTGTGACTCTTCCTTCTAATCTTTCTGAGTGTGTTTGTGGGAGGCTGAGATAAGGTGAACACTATGCTCCAATCGAGTTCCAAAAGTGTTATAGCTGCATTTTTGTGACAACACTCTCCCTCAGGGGGACACACAATGACTCTTCACATTTCATAACGTAAAGCAGGAAGCTCCTTACCTTTCCCCAACTGTCTAGAAAATCACATGAAAGGAAGTTAATGTTTATTAACATCCACTTGGGACCAAGACTTAACTTCCTTCGTTCCTTCTACCTTCAAGGAAGACACAGGCCTCCTCATTCTGAGATTGAAGAGGCAGAGACATAAATAAATGAAGTGACTTTTTCAAGGTTGCATGGACGGCAGTGGCAAGTGGCAGAGAAGGAACCTGTATCTGTTGTTGTCCACATACTTCATTCACTTTTCCAAAACCACAATTAGGGAAGGAAATCACCTCTAAAAAGCTCCAACTTTCCAGATATGGGATTGGGGAAGACGGCTGATAGTAAAGCACCCCTTGGGAGGGACTCCTTTCTCTAGAGCAGGGGTCAGCAAACTTCTACACAACATGTTTTGTAAATATACTGTTAGAACAAAGTTGAGTTTCCTGGCTCACATATTGCTTTTAGGTGCTTCTGTACCATGGCAGCTCAGCTGAGCATCATGTTGAGCTTGGATGGTCCACAAAACACCAAATATTTACTATCCGGTTCTGGACATAATGTTTATCTAGAGTCTGGCCAACTGTCCCTTCTCCAAAGGACACAATAACAGTGACGTGAGACTGTCCTTTGTCCACCAGGCCCTATCCCTTGCCTTCTGATGAAAAGGTAACATTTCTGCTCACATCTGTTTTGTGGGAGGGAAAAATCAGCAAACAGGCTCAGAATACCTGTCATGCAAATGAGAGTGTCTGGTTTTCATCTTCCTCTTCTTCCCAGGAACATCATGAAGGGGAAATGGAGAGCTCAATTTTGGGGAAATTGCAAAGGGTAAAAGGGGGAGGAGATCAGTTACAACACACTATTGCGACACTCAGCAGGGTTGAAAGTGACAACAGCGAGGGTTTCTCTTTTTGGAAATATGAGGGTTTTTCCGCTTCTGACAGTGGGACGGAATGACAGCAATGCAGGCCGGTGAATGACTACTTTCTTTATAAGCAACCACCCTGAGCCTGAAATGGCAATCTGTAGTCTCTGCTGCCTTGCTGCAGCCTCAGGATGGAAATCTGCAGGGGACGGTACAGTCACCTAATCTCTCTCCTTCTCTTCCTTCTGTTTCACTCAGAGGCAGCCTGCCGCCCTTCTGGGAGAAGACCCTGCAAGATGCAAGCATTTAGGTAAGTCTTCCAAAGACATAGGGTTACGTAAAGACACATGACATATGTCCAGGGCACTGGATCTGAGGGACGGGATGGAAAAGGATATAGATACTTGATTCAGGAACAGTTTACTACATACACAGTCTTTAAGGAATGTGGTTTTAAAATGTTCCATGCAGTCAACTGCACTCACTTTTCTAGACACCAAGGTGTTCAATAAATGATAAAAGGAAAGGTACCCACAAGTGATGCTAGCTTTGGGTTCTAGCACAGAGGAATGTTGCATCAGGACACAGTCAAAGGCTCAGGCCAACAGTCCGTATAGATGCTATGTCTGTGTTGACTTGGAAGATATGTCTCATTGGAGGCCCCAGTTTCCTTATCTGTGACATGATACTGGTTTAAGATACACCCCTTGTGTATGTTACAGGGTTATGAAAATTAACTGATCATGTAACCATGTTCTGAGACCTGTGCTATGAGAACTGTAGAGTGCCTGAAAAGAAAAAATGTCTTGAGTTTAAAAATTGGATCAAGAGCCTTAGGAGATATCATCAACCTTAGAGTAAAAATGGCAGGCTTTTATTTTGATTTGAAAAAATAAAGAGATTGTTAGTGCGTGCAATCTGTCCTTGATCCTTCCTGAGAATAAGGTCTGTGTTGAGTCACTTCCCTTTTGACCCTGTCTGCTTTGGACCCACAACTGGAGGCTAGGTCTCTGGATGGGAGTGTATTCATCCATCCCAGGAAAAGTCTGTCCCATAGATTCAGGGACATCCTCTTAGCAGCCCCAAGAGAGGTCCCCAGAGTCCTTATCAAGGCTATTAAATCCCTTCCTTCAGTTTGAAGCTCACTGTAGGAGCAAAGGTGCAAATACCCCTTCAGATGCAGAGGACTTGCTTTGTCCTTGGCCCTACCCTGAGCTCCTGGACTGCTCTGAGCTTCCCAAGGAGTGCAGTCAGCTCTCCTGACAGGTAAAGAGATAATGTACAGATTCTAGGTGATGTCACCAGGGCACTATTATCACATCTCACAGCTGCCTGTCTCACAGTCAGGGAGCCCTTTACCAAGAAGACAGGGAGTGACAAACAGGCTACTGAGTGAGCTAGAGAGGAAGTTGACTTCTTCCCAGGGCCAGCCATCACTGCCAGAGCCAGAGCAGGTGATTGACAAGAGAAGGAAAGGTTATAGTTACAGATTTCCATACCTAAGACTCAGAGTGTCTTGGCTGTGATGTATTCTAACCCTTGAACTTATAATACTATGGTGTAGCCACTAGTTTCAAGTGGCTACATCTAAAGTTATACGTAAACACATGAAAACAGAAGAAAGTCGTGTAGCTAGCAGTTCCCCTGTTGATAGGGTGAATAGAGGATGTATTTGCATTGTCTAAGATTCTATCAGATGGTGATGCTCTATAGAAAATTCTGCTGATGCAGTGGGTGTCTATGCTGGGATTCGTGAGTGAGGAGCAAGAAGAATAGGTTTTCTGTTCGCCAACTTTGAGATATGGACCATCTCTTATGTAGTACTGGCTTGCATCTTTTCATCTGCATTATGAACTCTCCAAGGATTACATTTCCAGCAGATCTAGAAGTACATTAGATGACACTGAGGAAGTAGGACATGGTGCTGTACTGCCTACTACAGCTAGGCCATTTTGCTTTTCAGAATCTGGGATATTAACCAGAAGACTTTCTATCTGAGGAACAACCAACTCATTGCTGGCTACTTACAAGGACCAAATACTAAATTAGAAGGTGAGTGGGTATCAGGGAAGCTGGTGCAATGTGGGCACTTTGTCCTGCTCCTCCACTTGTATGTGGGATGTCCTCATTTCCATTGAGTTTGGAAAGAGAAACATGACCACCAGAGGGAACACATGGGGAGTAGCCTGAAAAGTGGAAAAGGTAGGACCTGAGTTGCAATGCCTCAGGGACACAGCTAGGGGGACAGGGGCCAAGAGTCACAGCTGCTCTTCCTTGGTCCTTCTGTGCTGGTCCCTAGCCTCATCCTAGGCTAATACCACAAGGCTGAATAATAACCTTTATTGTGGATACTGCCCTCAGCGTGTACCCATCTACCCTTGGGACAAAACTAGGTGAACTCGGAAAAGCATCACTCACAGATTCTTCAGTTTTTTCTTTTAGAAAAACAAAGACTATGAATTAGCAGAATTTGTATTTCCCTTAGCACTGGAGTTTAAAGTTTTCATGTCTCTGTTTGCTATAGAGAGAGGCATTACCTATATCTTCTCAGTATTCTCCAAGCCCTTTCTTAGCTTTCCTGTCTTATTCAACAGTTATAAGACTAGCTTTTCCTATCTTTCTAGTAATCTAGCAGTTCTCCCATGAATGCTCAAGTATAGGGAGGCTGGGTTTGCTAATACTATCCAGTAGCAGATGGGAAAGGTGGCCTGCAAGCCCACAGGCTTCCTGGAGCCTACTCATGGGCCTTGTGAGCTTTGTGCCCCTGACTATTAACAGCTTGTCTATTGACCTGGAGGACAGGCTTCCTGGAGAAAATAAGGGAAGGTTGGAAATAGTGTGGAGCAGAGTCTGGGAGGCTGATATTTATGGATAACTAGGTAGAGTATTTGGTTGGATCTCTAGTGTGGATGCAGACTAGAAAGATAGACCCTTCCTGACCTTCTGACCTCAAAATTCTAGTTAAAAGAGGAGACAGAAAATGCCCACAGGCTCTTCCCCACCCTGCCCCCTCTTTTCTCTTTCTGATCCTACCCTCTGCTCTTCTCCAGAAAAGATAGACATTGTGACCACTGACCTTCATAGTGTGTTCTTGGGGATCCACGGAGGGAAGCTGTGCCTGTCTTGTATCAAGTCTGGAGATGATGTCAAGCTCCAGTTGGAGGTAAGAATCTGGTTTAACTATCAAAGCATTACAAAACCCAATGGATTTTAACAACCATGGGTGGTTCTCTTGACTGTGCGTGTGCATGGATGAGGTTGGTACTTTGTTCCTCAGAGAGCAGTATTCTAGGGTCACTCCTGAAGTAATTTCCACAATGTTCTTGGTTGTTATTTATGTCCTCCCAAGGTGGTTTCTCAGTCTGTAACTCATGCAGTAGATTACTCTTATCTTCCTTGTAATGTGACGGTCAGCTTCTATGAGAGATTACTCCAAAAAGATGGGCCTCAATGTGAAAGTACTTATTAAACTTGGACTTACATGAGTCTATTACCAAAGCCTGAGACATGGTTGATATGGACTCATTGTAGAAAGGTACCACATGGTCACAGGGTTTAAACTCTAGGAGGAAACATTTTTCATGGAAGACCACCTCTATAACACTATCACAGGACCCAAACCACCCATGGGTCTTGTGCTGGGCCTCCTAACCCACTTGGACTTACCTTCTTTTAGCAAGGTCAATGCTAGGACCATGTACTTTCAATCATTATGTATGCTACTCATTGGCAGCCCACACAGAACCATATCACTCCTTGACCTGTCCAATAGTAATGGGATGTTCAAACATGATCTTGAGGGCTAGCTGGACAAACTTTTAACGCAACTGCAAACAGCCACAACCTTGAGTTGTCACTTACCCCTACCAATGGACAGGACCACCTTTTGGGGGTGGGCAGAGAGGAGTTTCTATCTAGTCTAAGTGTAATAAGGATGACCAGGTTATCTTACATAACACATTTTGCAGGCTTTGAGACATTCTACCTTTTCTTTAAAGCCCTCTTGCCTTGAAAGAATCAGGTCACTGCTTCTCTGGCCTTAGTCTCTGCTGACCATGTATTTGCTAGACTTACTGCACCATGGCCACAGTGGCATGATTTTCAATGCAAAATATGACAACAGGTCAACCCTTTCTGTGCATGGTATCTTATGAAATCTGGAGCCTATATTGTTTGGCTAGGTCTCTGAGAGATCATGTCTCTATTATCAGAGAGTGACAGCCTTGTGAGAGGTATATAGATAGACAATCAGGATCTTCTGGGGTCCCAGAAATCACATGATTATTTCTTGACTTCCAGGAAATTAACATCACTGATCTGAGCAAGAACAAGGAACAAGACAAACGCTTCGTCTTCATCCGCTCAGATAAAGGCCCCACCACCAGCTTTGAGTCAGTTGCCTGTCCAGGCTGGTTCCTCTGTACAGCACTAGAGGCTGACCAGCCTGTCAGTTTCACCAACAAACCTGAAGAGCCCCTTACAGTCACAAAGTTCTACTTCCAGGAAGACCAATAGTACTTCCCAGGCCTACCCTTCCCCACTCCCAGGCCATCAATGACTCCATCAACTGCCTCCTCACTCTGGCCATCATTGGGTCTGAAGACCAACTTTGCAGGGTATACAGTAGAGGGAGGTAGAAGAGCCTTGATGACAGATTTCTGCCTTCCCCTCTTGGCTGACCCAATCCCCATGATGCTTCCAGAATGATCTTTCAAATTGGACCATGGCAGGCCCTTGTTTAAAACCCTTCCTCATTGCCTCTGCCCTTTGAGTGAATCCTAGACTACTTGCTGGGCCTAGGTGTCTTCTACTCTCCACACTTCCTGTTCTTCCATTGTCCTACAGGTCCACAGCCCAGACTAATCAACTTGTTTGATAACACCCTTGAAGTGGCTCCCTTACCCTGTTTTATAAACCTCTGCTGGTCTGTGGAGAAGGTTTTTATTCTCCTTGCCGTCCATTTGGTTTTTGGTGCTTGGGATGAAGCCCACCAGGGCCTCATGTATACTAAGTATGTGCCTACCACCAACTATGATTTCAGCTCACAGGGAAGTTTTTAAGGATCCAGAAAACAGAAGTTAAGGATCTCATAGTTATTTTATTAGGCCAGCCTTATTCCATGTGGGGGAGAGTCCTTCTTGTAGAGCTAATGTCCTTTCTGAGAGGGGCTGGGAACTAGATGTCCCTACATTTGTGAAATGATGATAAACATGGGAAAATAGATAGTAGGTTTTCCTCTTTTCCTTCTTTCTACAATGTTCTAAACTGAAAAATTAAAATTTAGTAGACTATATTATCCCCATAATCATTTTTTTTATTTTTCTTTGGGGGGGTTCAATAGTCTGAAAATAGTCTGAATCCCTCTGTCCAGCCCAAATGCCATCTCCACTCCAAACTCTCCACAGCTGCCTGCAGATGTGCCCCACCATCACTGTGCAAATATCTGCCAGGCTCCTCCTGCTGTGGTGAATGAATCCACTGATCATTTCTTGACCATGTTAGCACTTCTAACCTTGAAACTAGTGTGGAAGCAGCTATGGCCCCTGCCTGTTTCCTCTGCCAGACTGTGAGCTCCACAGAGCAGCGAGCATTGTGTGTGTGTGTGTGTGTGTGTGTGTGTGTGTGTGTGTGTGTGTGTGTTGGGTCCCTGTAGGCCTGAGCACCAGCTTGGCTCTTGGCAGGCACTCGGTGACTGTGTGTTGTGTATGCTGAGTCCTCCCTGTGACTTTAGCTGTATTTTACAATAAAACACTGAAAATGTCTACTTTGTTGGTTGTGACCATGTGCCTAGGCATAATGCATAGGGTTCTGGGGAAATGGAGAGGCCAAGGGTCTTTTTAGTTCTATGACTACAGCACAGTTGCCTCCTCTCTGAAAGCCTTCTTCCTCATTGTTTCTCGCTTCCTGGGTAACAAGGCACCAAACACCCTTGCCTTTAAGTTATAAAGTATTGTTGTCCACCATGAAACCCCCAAGTGAAAACAACCCAAATACCTGTCATGGGTGAATAAACATGCAAATATCAGATCGGCACCCAACTCAGCACTCTACAACGGCAAAGAGAACAAATGAACAACATCCAACTTCACCAAACACAACAGGTGAATCTTAATAAACTGGTTCAAAAATTACTAAAGCTCAAACATCTCCATGTCAAACAGAAGCTAACAAGTTAATAATCACAAAGAGGAAACCTAATACTCCACTGAGCGCTGTGACTGTGGTCATGTTTTAATCTCCTATTTGCCATGCATGCTCAGGGTGAGCTAGTTAAAACTCTCAGGGGTTCAGTTTTCCCAACTCTTCATGCAAATAAAAGCTAATGCAGAATGAGTTACCACCTTTAACTTTTGTAACACCCTTCTCTGCTGAGTAGTAATGTGGTTGCCATCACCAGTCCTGGAGGAGTCAGTGCTCAAGGACTCTACTTCAAAGCTGCCTTGCTTCAAATGTGGCCCATGATTTGCAGCAGCCTCACTTGGGAATAAAACACAGGTTCCTGGGCTTCCTACCAGATGTCCAGGCTTAGGAGCTCATCTTAACCAGCCCCCCCAGGTAAATCACACAGGCTAAAGTTTGAAAAGCACTGTCTTTAATTCTAGCATTCGGGAGACAGAGGCAGCAGATCTCTGTGAGTTTGAGACCAGCCTGGTCTACAGATAAAGTTCCAGGACAGGCTCCAAAGCAATACAGAGAAACCCTGCCTCGGAAAAAAAAGAAAAGAAAGAAAGAGAGAGAGAAAGAAAGAAGGAAGGAAGGAAAGAAAGAGAAAGAGGAGAGGGGAGAAGAAGAGAGGAGGAGAAGAGAAGAGAGGAGAGGAGAGGAGAGGAGAGGAGAGGAGAGGAGAGGAGAGGGAAGAGAGTGGTAGTGCTGCTTTCCCAAACTGCTGTCTATAAGTTTTGGCACACTTACCAATGTGGTTAGCATGATTATAAATTCAGCTTTATTCTTCCTTCCCAACCCTCCAGCCCACGACCATACCAAAACCTCCCCCTCTTACTGCCTCCCTTAGACCTCAGGTGTTCCTTAAATTCTGAAGGAAACGCTTTAGGCCAGCACCATCTGCAAAAATTTCAGCCCAACACATCCAAGGGTTTGTGTCTCATATAATACCAACTCTCAGTCTTAAACTGAATGATTGAATTTGAATGTTAAAAACAGCGTTCCTGGCACGCAGAAAGCACCCTCCCTTTGTTTTACCCATAATGGTTCTGCTCAGGCTTTGTTTTCGAGAGCCTACATTTAGGAGGAGAAAATTAGCCACTCCACACGTGGTTAAGAATTCATGGATTATGTCAGCAAACAAACCTGCATTCAGACCAGGTCATAAACCCTGGAAAAGAAGGGAGCTGAGCAAGGAAGATGTGACCACCAGGTGGCAGTAGCACTCATGAGCTTCAGCGAGTTATGGCTCTTTCAGGTTAAGGCCGTCCCTAACCACCAGAATGGGCCGAAGCCTATGGAGGTGAGGTCCCACACAGAAAGGGAAGAGAGCAAACGAATCCCCAGGGTAGATGGGAGTTGAAGAGGGATTTCCATGCCCAGGGAACGTCTCTCTCAGAGACACAGCTGGGAATCTCTGACTCAGACTCCAAAGGGAAACAACTTTTTGTATACGGCTTAATCCTCATAAAGATACTGGATCTCACGTAATCTGTATCTTGGTAGCAGACAGGCTCTTAGTGGACAAACACCTGATTATTTGGGCCATACTTAAAACAGCAGATGTGCAAACATTTGAGTTTGGCATTGACTGGGGTTTAGAGCTCTCGCCTCGCACTGAAGAAACCAGCCAGCACAAGAAGCCCATCTTTGGCTCTTTTATATGACGCAAGGAATGGGGCGCAGCTCAGGGAGGCCAGGCTTGGATAGCATATTCAAGAGATGTCTCTTTTCACTTAGGAGACAGTACAATGGTAAGGCTGGGTCATAGTTGGAGTTGGGGGGGGAGACAGAAAAGAACAGAGGGGACTCAGACAAGTGCCTATGAGGAAAATGGTCTCCCCCCACCCCACCTTTAGGCCTGACCAGCTATAACAACATAGAACCCCAGAAAAACTGGCTCAAAAATCTAAAACCAGGTCAGGTAGAGTGGTAACACCCCTGTGACCTCAGCACTCTGGAGAAGGATTGGGAGTTCAAGGCCAGACTTGTTAGACAAAAATTCAAAAGCTATTTTAAAGCTTTCCAGCTTTCACAGTCTAGTCCGTGTCCCTACTTACTGCAGTGGTAGCCTTGGTCAAGCAACCCTGCCTCCTGGGTGTTAAGATGAAGCTTCATCCCAGCCCCTGGCATCCATATACCCAAAGAGTCTGGAATGTTATAGTGGAAGATCCACCCAAGCCCCCCCTCCTCTATCTCCCCCCAAACCCTGCTGCATCTCAGAAAGCCAGCTAAATGATGACCCCCACCCCGGAGATGCTCAAGGCCAGTCTCACAGGGTATTTAAACTGCCCCCCAGAAACCAGACTCATGGTTTTTCCTGTCTCCTTTCTGGGGGGCTAGAAGGCCATCTGGGAGTGTTGTATCCATTAAATGTGGGCTTTTTCTAATTCTGTTTGATTTGTTCTGATTTGGATTGCTGCATTGGTAGAGAGGCTTATCTGGGTGTAGAAACTTTTCAGTGGGCCTGTATGTCTTCATTTGAAGGGGCGAGGCACTGGACTCTGTTTCAAGGGTAACCTGAAGTTTCTTATCAAAGGGTGCAATGCCTGGCTCCTCACAGAGATTGTGAATCACTTGGACTAGAGGTGGCTTGAGGTGGAACAAAAGATCGGTATGCCAAGGCTGACACCCTCCAGGTCAGGCTCCTCCAGTTGCTCCTGCCTGGCAGCATCTGTTGACACAAGGTTGGAGATGCCCTCTCACAGAAGGAAAGGGCTCCTTACTAAGTCAGCCATACATTTCCACTGTGCTCTCAGATAGACTGAATGCCAAAGACAGGGTGCTTGGCTGGTGTGTGTGAGGTCGTGGGTTCCACTCCCAGCACCAATGGGTAGGAATGAATGCATTGCTGATTCTTCAAAAGCATGGGGTATATACCAGTAGTATCACCATTTGATTAGCTAAGGCAGGAGGATTGTGAGCCTGCATCGAACTGAAAACTGAGATTGAGTTAAAGATAGTGAGATTTGATAATTTCCTGATTTCTCAATCATAAAGTTGTCTAAGATGCTTGACGTAGGAAGCACAGTTTAGAGTAAGCACTGGAGAAATGAGGACTGCAATCATGCAGGCCTAATTTCTTCAACAGAAGGGAATGAATGATGCCGATACCATACCTGGAGTGCTGGAGTGATGCAGTCAGACAACCTGATGATCCTTTGCTATCGTTAGGAGCCAACCCTGTCCTGAATCCACCCTGAGAACAGTTTAGGTTCTAATCCTGGGCTTTGCCACTCAGTAAACAGCACTCGCTCTTATGAAGCACTTTGCATCCTCCACCAATAGAATCTATCCTTACGCTTATCACACATTCTTCCCCTAGGCCCTGCGCTGAGCTCTGTTTATCTGCCAGTAGAACTCATTCTTATTGTAAAGGTCACAGGCACTTTGTTGCCTTGCTGGGGAGGCTCAGTGTAGCTATGCCTAAAGCTTTGTTGTGATAATTGTCATGTGGGAACCTTTTCCAAATGTTTTACTGTGCTTAAGTGTGTAAGAAGAATAAATCATGAGGTCAGACAGTGGAGGTTTAGACCCAGTGCCTGCCAAGAGTTTCACCCTTTACCTTGTGTGGACCATCTGCCCACCCAGCCATGAGGCTTGCAGGATACCCGACAGCTTGTATCATCACTTTATTTATTTATTTTTGGCATATACTAAACAATGTTAAATTGTTGTCGATTTTTGCAAATCTTGGGAAGAACAAATGATGTTGTAGCTTTGTGTATAAAATCTCTAAGCCACAGAAGCAAATGTCAAAATGTTTCATATCAATCACAGTTATTAGAAAAGCATAGGAAGATGGTGAAATAGAATTGGGGTTCTTAGCTTAACGAAGTTAAATAGACTGACTATGGGCTTTGGGGCTCTAGCACAAGGGGGCAAGGAAAGAAGTTCAGTAAGTTCCACCAGAGGACAGACCTTCAAAAAAGAATCCAGGGTAGACGCCTCTAATTAGTTCGCTAAGAATTCAGGCATTATGCTGACCTGACCCTGTTACCTGGCAGAATGAACTCAGGCAGTACTCTGATCAGCCCAGGGTTCCATGATTGCTTAGTCCGCATGCATGTGCAAAGGACCCTTTAAAAACAGCTGTTTCCAAATTAAAGTCAGCCAGCTCTGGAAAAAGAAAAAGCAACCCCCACCCACCCACCCACTTATGCTTTCTCTCTCTCTCTCTCTCTCTCTCTCTCTCTCTCTCTCTCTCTCTCTCTCTCTCTCTCTCTCTCTCTCTCTCTCTCCTGCTCTTCCCCTGGGGCAGATAGGACTTTCTTTGTCTCCTTTTTCTCTTCTGTCCTCTCTGTCTCTGTCCTGTTGCTTCTTTTCTCTTTCCTTCCCCCTCCCTTCCCTTTCTAATAAAACTTCTCACTAAGCTCTGACTGCCTGGCGTGTTTGCCCCTTGCCTTGGTCACCCTCTCCTGCCATGGAATTCGCCAAAGTTCCCCACGCTTTATCATAACAAGTTCTACTCATGCCTCAGACTGATCAGTCTGGTTTTTCTGACAGCCCACATACACACAGGAAAAAAACTGCTTTTTTTTTTTTTTTTCCATTCTACATTTATTCTTATTCACCAATAGAGCCAAGCCAATTTAAGGAA